GATACATTTATGAACGTTTATTATCATTTTTGGAAATGTGCTTTATAGCACAATTTCTTATTAGGTACAAAATATGTCTATATAACTTAGCAAACTAAGAATTTTGGTTACTACAAAAATTCTCAGGCTGTTTAATATATATATATACTGTTATACATTAATACAGTATTATTATTAAGATATTTATTTGCTAGGCTTGTTTACTTATTTTTAGCAACTATGTTAGATTTCTTACAAAACCTTTACTGAATGTTAGACAAAGCTAAGCCTTTAAGCATTTTATTATTAAAAGATTTAGCAGATAACATTGACTTAAATGACTTTAGGTAAACTTAGGCAGCTAATAACAACAAGGACATGCCTTCTTCAGCCAAACTCAAATTAGCATTAATGCTTAACATTTTTATCAGATTTTCTGGAAGTTTTAAAATGCCCAATTTTCACAAGCACTAGTTTTTAAATAAAATATTTTTCATCTATACACCTAGACACACAAACGTACAAACTGAGATATGACTACAGTCAGCAACATCCCCCACACAAAAACATATACACAGACAGACAAACTGATATAAAGACTTGAGTCACTGATATTCAATTGCCTTCCCTCTTTTCAGCTTCTTGTCTGTGGCTTCTGGAACTAGAGGGCGGGAGGAACGTGTTCTGGTGGGGGAAGAGGGGGGTGAAGGTGGAAGGAGAGGGGGAGGGGGGATCACTAGCTGAGGGAGGCGGGTGACTGAGGTTTTCTGGCGGATCTGAAAAGGAAGGACTGAGCAGAGTAAGAGGCTGACAATCTTTAACTGGAGATCAGGCCAGGAGAAACTGAGTCACTGAATACAACATAAAGGTCTGGACGGGAGTGCAAAGTCCAGAAAGCCTGCACATATGGGATTTCACTCTACTCTCCGCTCCAGTGGCAATAATTAATTAAGGTGGTGAAGAGGCTAAAATTGAAAGTTCCCTCAGGGGGCCAGCGAGATTGATTGTCCAAGGGATACTGAGGCCCAGCCTCAGAGCAAAGAAAGACTAGCCTTTATTTGCGAACTTCCCGGGACAAATATAGAGTAGCCGAATTAGAAATGAGACACCGCAGTGCGGTCTGAGCCTCTGCTTTTGAGGGCTGGTTCCCCATGTCTGCATCACTCCCCAATTAATCCCACTGAGAGGAGCGCCCAGTGTCCTTCCCCGACCCGGGACCACAGCCTGCTCTCCGCTGCTTGGACTTTTTTCTGGTGAGTCCCTCAGTTTCCCCCGGTCTGCTTCCCTTCCTAACTCTGTTTCACCTGGTCCTTTAGAAGTCGTGCATACGTCCAGGTCTGGGCATTCAGCCCATCCATTGCAAGTATCCAGGATACCCGCCCCTGGCCCTGCAGTGGGGGAGACGTCCCTCACCCAGGCTCCCAGGCCGTCTCCCCTGACTTGGTGCACTTGGGATGCTGGGCGCTCCTCTCAGCGGGATTAGCTGGGAAGTGGCGCAGACATGGGGAACCAGCCCTCAAAAGCGGAGGCTCAGACCCTGCTGCGGTGTCTCATTTCTAATCTGGCTACTCTGTTTGTCCCAGGAAGTTCGCAAATAAAGGCTAGTCTTTCTTTGCTCTGAGGCCGGGCCTCAGTATCCCTTGGACAATCAATCTCGCTGGCCCCCTAAGGAAACTTTCAATTTGGCCTCCTCACCAACTTAACTAATTATTGCCGCTAGAGTGGAGAGTAGAGTGAAATCCCGTATGTGCAGGCTTTTGGGACTTTGCGCTCCCATCCAGACCTTTATGTTAACTGTTCAATGACTCAGGTTCTCCTGGCCCGATCTCCAGTTAAAGATCATCAGCCTCTTAGTCTTCCCAGTCGTTCTTCCTTTTCAGATACACCAGAAGACCTCAGTCGCCTGTGTCCCTCAGCTCACAATCCCCTCCCCCTCTCTCCACCACCATCTCTAAGTCCCTTGTCTTCACACGTGTCGCCGCCGTCTTAAAAGTCCTACATTCTCAACCGTCCCGCCGTCCTGCTCTCCTCTTCCGGTGGCTGCACCACCCCTCCCCCCCTCCTTCCGCCTTCACCGCGCTCTTCCCCCACTGGAACACGCTCCTCCTGCCCTCTGGTTCCAGAAGCCATGGACAAGAAGCTGAAGAAAAACAAGGCAATTAGATATTAGTAACTCAAGTCTTTATATCAGTTTGTCTACCTGTGTACATGTTTTTGTGTAAAAAGTGTTGCTGACTGTAGTCGTTGTGTCTCAGTTTGTATGTTTGTGTGTCTAGTGTGTAAATGAGAAATATTTTCCTACCTCTGGATGGTATTAATAAAAATTGATTGAAAAACAAGCACTTGTGAAAATTAGGCATTCTAAAACTTCCAGGAAATCTGATAAAAAATGTTAAGCATTAATGCTAATTTGAGTTTGGCTGAGGCAGGCATGTCCTTGTTGTTATCAGCTGCCTAAGTTTACCTAATGTCATTTAAGTTGATGTTATCTGCTAAATCTTTTAAGAATAAGTGCCTAAAGCCTTGGCTTTGTCTAATATTCAGTAAAGGTCTTGTAAATAACCTAGCGTAGTTAAAAATAAGTAAACTAAATAAGTGTAGCAAATAAATCTCAGTATCAAATACACAGCAAAATTAAAATTTTGTTTTCAGTTAAAAAGACAAAGTTTTCTTAACTGTTAATCTGCTCTTAATATTTAAAAAATTGCAATGAGTTCTCTAATTGTTTTATCAAAGCAATTTCTCAAGCGTAAGTCTCAATGAGTTGTCAGAATATTAAGAAAATGAAATCTTAATATTAAAAGGACTAAAAGATAAAGTTTGCTAACAACTGTGTAACCTTCTTTATTTGCCCTTGAGGTATTTTGTTGTCATTCTGGTTAAATAGAAAAGTATTGCTTCATAGCAACCTATAATCCTATTTAAGCAAGTGCCTTAAAACTTTTAACAGCTTCCCAAAATCAAATTCAAAAAAGTGCTTTTTACCTCTAGTTCACTCTGATATTTTCCAAAGGGCCTGAAACATGTCAGAAGCATTTCTTCTCATTGAGAAAATATTTGGCTAATTTGGCTTATTTACTTACTTAATTACCTAGAAGGCACTGTCACAGAGAATGATGCTAAAGTTTGTTACTGAATGTTTTGTGTTACAGAAATATCCAAATTTCCTTATGACAACTGTCTTACAATAAGCTCTCATCAGATCTTTAACCATTGTTGTTTATAAATCTTTTGTCATCTATACTCACTATTTTATTACTCCTAAACTAATAAAAAACTAGATTTCAGCAGAACAAGTATTAGTTACATAGGATTAAGTAAACTAAAGAAAATTATTTTGTGACTTTTTGTTTCAAATGTTGTTGATAAAGTGTTTTAAGCTTTTTCTCTTAAGCTGACAACAGTTTAGTAAATGACTGCCTTTATAAGCAGAATTGAAACTTTATCTTTCTCTCTACCTCATCCCTCCAGAATTTAAAAACTCTCAGTGACTATTTTTATATTTCATGGTAGTATGTTTATTTGCACAAGTTCAATAAGAATCTGCTTTCCTTGTAAGAGGACCAATTAAAAAGATTAGTTATATCACCAAGGCTTTGACTGGAACGTCATACCTGAGAGACACGTGTGTAAATTCAGATATTAACAGACAGCTTTAAGGAACTAAGATTGACTTTATAAAGCCAACAAAGCCCCTTGGAAGAACTGGCCTGGTACCTTGCTCACAGGGTTCCCAGCAGCCTTGCCAGGTGAGTAAAGAAGGTCACTTCCTGGCAGGTGCAAGAACCTCAGGAATGTCTTAGAAACCTCAAGAAGAAAAGAATTCACTCAAATCTACAGGTCCTGCAGGCACAACCTGATGGCAAGTCTTACTTGGCTTTTGGCCTCGAGAGGCCTTTAAAAGTTCAATCTGAAATTCCTAACAAAAAGTTCCAGCAAAGCACATTTAAAAGATCCCATGTAATCAATTGCTCTTCTTGATACACTTATGCAAATAATAAAGCCAAAGCCAAGTGTTAATTATTTTCTTAATCTAGCTACTTCTAATAAAAATAAGGGTGATTTTAGAGAAAAGTATTGTTTCAATAATGCAGTCTTATCTATACAAAATCCTAATACTAGTCATTGAGATGTAAACTCAATCCAAAATTTTAGTTTCCCCATAATACCTGGCTATAATTCTCAATTAAACTCTTCATATGTCTAGTTCTCATATTCAGCCATGCATTCTTAATCTCATCAAATTTGTCCTTTCAGAATAAAAGTGCCAACTTTCTGAGGCCCTCTCAACTGACCAGTGATAGAGACCTAGCTGCACCCTTTACTGCGCCCCTTCTTAGCATGAAGCAGCCAGAACGGTCGTCGCCCCTTTTCCCTGGCAGCAGCTAGAGTCTCTATCTGTAGAAAAGAAAATGAGACAAAAACCGTGAGCTTGGACAGAGTGAAGTGAGGGCCTTTAGAGAAAACGGTGTAAAATGTTTGCAGTCAGAGCAATGTAGCTACATACTACGAAACGCCCCCCCACACACACACACACAACGCCCTTTGTCAGCCAGAAGTAGCCAGATCAAGTCGTTGCCCATTATGACCAAAAGGCTGAAATGTAAGGTTGAAGGCTCTGGGCAGAGGGGTGAGCACGTCAGACACTGATGACGTGCCGAAGTCCCCGGCTGCTGCCTCCTCCCAACCTGAAAAATGTGCCTTAGGCTGGCCAATCCTCGCACCCCTGTGAATCTAAGCTCTGCCTCCCCCTCCCTTCTTTAAAAACTCGCTGTCTACTTTCGCGTGATTTCCCCAGCCTGTGACAGCCAGGCTGCGGAACCTCGCCCAGGGGCATTCAAATAAATTACCGGGCCCTTTGTTCCCTCTCTTTGCCTGCTTATTTCGGCTAGAATTTATCTTACACAAAGATCATACATAGCCACATTTGGTGATATATTTTTACAAGGAATACACCAACTCATGTGAAAGCATATGTCAGCAGTGTGGTCCATTACTTTTTGGTGTGTTTGTTTTCTCAGGCAGAACATGAACCAGAGTTTGCCTTGTCATTTCTACTTCTTTGTGGGATTGTTGCCCTTTTGGATACTGTGTGCCTCCTCTGCCAATAAATGTGCTGTTAGGCATGAAGTAGCTGACTGCAGTCATCTGAAGTTGGCTCAAGTACCCGATGACCTCCCGGCAAACATAACAGTGTTGAATCTTACCCATAATCAACTCCGAAGATTACCACCTGCCAATTTTACAAACTACAGCCAGCTTACTATCTTGGATGGGGGATTTAACTCCATCTCAAAACTGGAGCCAGAATTGTGCCAGAAACTCCCTTTGTTGGAAATCTTGAACCTTGAACACAATGAGCTGTCTCACCTTTCAGATCAAACTTTTATCTTCTGCACAAATTTGGCCGAACTCCATCTAATGTCCAACTCAATCCAGAAAATTCAAAATAATCCCTTTAAAAATCTGAAGGTAAGATGAGAATGTTCATTTCCAAATAAGAAATGAAAAACCCGTTACCTAATGTTAAGTTTTCAAGTCACTCATTCATCTTTAGATTTCATGGCTAAGTGTCAAGGTGAAGAAGAAATTAGATATGCCCAAATGGGAAGGAGGGGGACCCCACACACAAATATTGCCATTACGATTGGAAATGTTTTCAAAAGAGAAAATACCATCTTAAATCAGTTTCAATCTTTAAAATAACTCTGTCTCTCTTGCTTCCTCCCATTCAAAATAGAACTTAGGTACAAGACGTGGTGATCAGTGAAGAATCAGAATATCTCACGAAGAAATAAACTCTCAGTGCTGCTGATTTAGCACCTGATGTAAAGAAAAAAAATGTGGAGTCCAGTTCTGACTTAAACAAATCAAACTGATACATGATAAAGCAAATTATTCAGCTTAAAATTACCTCTCTTGATTTAAGAAATCTCCTCACAATATTGCCTTTCCAATGTCTGCCCCCGCCTTTTTCAGTACTTTGCTTGAATTTTAAATCTGTGAAAAATGTATGTTATTGTCTCTAAATCTGAGACAATTACTAAGTACCTTTCTTAAGATCATTTTCAAAACTCGTTGTTTTCTTCATTCCTTGACCTCATGTACCAAGAATAGCGTACACATTTAATACACTTAGAAACATTCATAAAGTGATTTGCTTGCTAGCGATTTGAAATTCTTTCTTTGTGCCCTCTTAGATTCTGACATAGATGAATGTCTTTGGACATGAAGACTTTAAAAATCTGGTTAGAGTAATCATTGGCAAAATTGTACTTTTATTTTTAAAATATAAATAGAAACCTTGTTCTCTTGAATAGACATTACATAAGATTTTGCCCTAATGTATATCAGCTTTTCCTCACCTTTTACCTGAGTTTACATGTTCACAGGTCCACAGAGTGATAAAATATCCTATAGCACTGACAAAACAAACAAAAATTCTGGGCTTTCCAAGATGCATAATTTACATAACTATCAGTCTTTCTCAATATAAAAATCTTTTTAGGATTTCATGGATGGCAAAGATCTACTCATGCTTTTTAAGAAAACATTTTTTCCTCTTTTTTACTGTTATTTAGTTTCAAGGCTGATACATAACACTATATGTTAGGTAATATATGATAAACTACATGAATATTCCTTACATTATAAATAAGCAAATAAATAAATAAATGCTTAGTATGAATATTCTTTACATCATGAATGAAGAGGCCTAAGTCTTTTATTTTAGCAAGAGAAATTCAGTGATTCTTGAAGTAAGAAACAAAATCCTTGCAACAATGGGATTTTCAATCACAACAAAGATCTTTTATTACCCCTACTGTCAGTTTTCTAGGGAATAATAATAGGTGACATTTAAATTATTTAAATAGTAAATAATTTCTATTAAATTATTTCTAGGATTCACAGACATTTAGAGGAAATATTTTTTGATGGCAAGACTAACTTATGTACATACTTTTTCTCTTTCAGAAGTTAATCAAATTAGATCTATCTCATAATGGTTTGTCATCTACGAAATTAGGAACTCAGCTCCAACTGGAAAATCTCCAAGAGCTTCTATTATCAAATAATAAAATTCATGCACTAAGACCCGAAGAACTTGATTTCCTAGGCAATTCGTCTTTAAGAAAATTAGAGTTGTCATCAAATCAAATTAAAGAGGTAAGAAGGAAGGTATGATTGTTTTGTGCCCTACTTTTAAGTGCAGCAGTCCCTAACTGTGTCAGTTGGGAAAGAACTGAAGGAGCACTGGGGCGAGGGGTAACTTTTGCCGGGTTTTCCAGAAATCCTTCGGAGTTTTCTGCTTAGGGCTATTTATGTTCCCCTCACAAGAAAGGGAGTTTGGTAACACATAGGAGCTGAAGCTCTGCCGTCAAAAAAAAAGAAGTGGGTTAAAATCCCTGTTCCATTAAGACCAGTACTTTGACCTTGGGGAACTTCCTTAACGTTTCTGGGACTCCGTTTCCTCACTTGTGAAATATCTATCACCCAAAATCTCTGCAAGAATTAAAATAGCACAATGGTTAAGAGCACAGGCTTTAGAGTTGGGTTAGCCGGCAACCTACCTGGGCTTTATTATCTCTTACATAATTATTAAGTTCTCTCTACTCCTACTCCCCAGTTTTAAAATTGGCATAATAATAACACTACTTTATGAGGCTGTGTGGTAAAGAATTTAATACGGTGTCTGGCATGTAAGTGCTCAGTATGTGATAACTAGCTTTAAATTACTATAAAAACCTTCCTATTATATCTAAGTAATCTTCTCTTTTTGGATCCATGATCTCCAGTTTGTTGATAATTTTTATATACAGGTATGTCTGTATTACATTTCTTTACAAGCTGAGAATAAAAATATTGGAAACTCTAAACAAAATCAGATTTTTGAAAGCTGGATTGATGTTTAGACATAAAAACAGACTGCACAAAATTATCCTGAGATAATTAAACAGTTTATGCAAGCTACTCAGGTTAATTTTTGAAAAGCCTTTTTTTTCTGTTTAGAACATTGGTTGTAGAAATCCTATAAAATATATAAAGAATGAGGGAGAAAATAAAAAATATAAAAGCCCACAATCCAGAGACAAGCAATGTTTGTATCTGGGTATGTTTACCTGCAGCTTTACTCCAAGTAATGATGAGAAAAACCAACAGCAGCTGAAATTCACAGAGAAGTTAGTTCACTGTGTGTCAGGCACTGTGACAAGTTCTCTTTATATATATATTTTTATATAGTCCTATAACCAGCTTATTCTTGCCATCATTTACACAAGTGTAAATTGAAACGAAAGGTGACCAGGTGGTGACACTGGGTTTCTGGCAGTGTTAGGCCAGAGCCCGCACTCCTAACAGCTGGGCCACCTTGCCTCTCTGAGGAGGATGGTGTGTCGGCCGTTTAAAAGTAATATCATATCATAAACATCCTCCAGGTCATTAAAAGTTATTCAAAAATTTAGTTATGGCACAATAATCCTGCCATGTAAATTTACCATAATTGATTTAGTAATCTGCTTAACACTAAAACACACTTCCTTCCACATCTTGGTCTTTTCTGCCATCAGCCCTGACGCCCCACCAATGACAAGGCAGAACACACAGAGGGTCTTTGCTCCCCTGGTGTCCCACCGCCCAGGACTGCCTGCTCCCCTCTCCGGCTTCCTTCTCTCGGGTTCCAGCGCTGAGTCCCAGAGCAGCCAAGGCTTCTGGGGAGGGGATGGGGGCAGAGAGGAAGGGAGCCTGAGACACTGTGATGGAATAAAGTCGGGAGAAGACCTTGTAGAGAAACAAAGAGTAGAGCTGGAACTCAGGGTTACAGTAGAGGAAGTGCACATCATGGTTGCATCATAAAATCCGCCCATTCATTCCAGGATGCTCACTGAGAAGAGTGGTTCCTAAGCCAGAGAAAGATCTCCCCCAATAGTGACTTTACAGATAGCTCATTAATTACTCTTGTACCCAGTGTGATGAAGTAAAAGTGCCAGACTTAGCCTGGAATGAGAGGGCAGGAAAGGCCCCCTGAGGAAGGCGTCTAAGCTGACGAATGCTTAGTAGAAATTGACCAGGGGAAAGGGGAGTAAGGACCTGGCGCACCAGGTGGGTGTGGAGCTGTGCATGAGCCAGATGGGGAGAAAGCCCAGAGAGGGTGGTGAAGGGCAGAGGGGGACTGAGTAAAGAACTGGGGCTAAGTTTTTCAAGGGTCATACAAACGCTGTTGTGTTTTGGTTATTAACCTCTTTTCTCCCCCACCTTCAGTTCTCTCCAGGGTGTTTTCATGCTGTGGGAAAGTTATTTGGCCTGTCCCTGAGCAACGCCCAGCTGGGCCCCGCTCTCACCGAGAAGCTTTGTTTGGAATTATCAAACACAAGCATTCAGCATCTGTTCCTGAGCAACACACAGCTGTACAGAACGAGCAACATGACTTTCACGGGACTAAAGCACACGAATCTCACCATGCTCGACCTTTCCCGTAACAGCTTAAGCATGATTGACGATGATTCCTTTGCTTGGCTTCCGCATCTAGAATATTTCTTCCTGGAGTATAATAATCTAGGGCATTTGTCTTCTCGTTCCTTTTCTGGGCTTTTCAATGTGAGATACCTGAACATGAGACGATCTTTTACTAAACAAAGCACCTCCCTTACTTCCTTTCCCAGGATTGATGATTATTCCTTTCAGTGGCTGAAATGTTTGGAGTACCTTAACATGGAAGATAACGACATTCCAGGCATAAAACGTAATATGTTTACAGGATTGATTAAGCTGAAATACTTAATTCTATCCAACTCCTTCACAAGTTTGCGCACTTTAACAAATGAAACGTTTGTATCACTTGCTCATTCTCCCTTATTCATACTCAACCTAACCAAAAATAAAATCTCAGAAATAGAGGGTGGTACTTTTTCTCGGTTGGGCCAGCTGAAGGTACTTGACCTTGGCCTTAATGAAATTGGGCAAGAACTCACAGGCCAGGAATGGAGAGGTCTAGAAAATATTGTGGAAATCTACCTTTCCTACAACAAATACCTAAAACTGACTAGCAACTCTTTTGCCTTGGTTCCAAGCCTTCAACGACTGATGCTCCGAAGGGTGGCCCTTAAAAATGCGGACAGCTCCCCTTCACCCTTTTACCCTCTTCATAACTTGACCATTCTGGATCTAAGCAACAACAATATAGCCAACATAAATGGTGAACTGTTAGAGGGTCTTAAGAAGCTAGAAATTCTGGATTTGCAGCATAACAACTTAGCACGGCTCTGGAAACATGCAAACCCCAGTGGTCCTGTTTATTTTCTAAAGGGTCTTTCTCACCTCCACATCCTTAACTTAGAGTCTAATGGCTTTGATGAGATCCCAGCAGAGGTCTTCAAAGACTTGGTTGAATTAAAGAGCATCAATTTAGGATTAAATAATTTAAACATACTTCCCCCATCTGTCTTTGATAATCAGGCATCTCTAAAGTCATTGAACCTTCAGAAGAACCTCATAACATCAGTTGAGAAGAATGTTTTTGGGCCAGCCTTCCAGAACCTGAGTAGTTTAGATATGCGCTTTAACCCATTTGATTGTACCTGTGAAAGCATTGCCTGGTTTGTGAATTGGATTAACAGTACTCATACCAACATCTCTGAGCTCTCAAGCCATTATCTCTGCAACACTCCGCCTCAATATCATGGATTCCCAGTGGTGCTTTTTGATGTATCGCCCTGCAAAGACAGTGCTCCCTTTGAACTCCTTTTCATGATAAACACCAGTATCCTGTTCATTTTTATCTTTATTGTACTGCTCATTCATTTTGAAGGCTGGAGGATATCTTTTTATTGGAATGTTTCAGTGCATCGAATCCTTGGTTTCAAAGAAATAGACAACCAGCCAGAGCAGTTTGAATATGTGGCATATATCGTGCATGCCTATAAAGATAAGGACTGGGTCTGGGAACACTTCTCCCCCATGGAAGAAAGAGATCAAACTCTCAAATTTTGTCTTGAAGAAAGGGACTTTGAGGCAGGTGTCCTTAAACTTGAATCAATTGTCAATAGCATCAAAAAGAGCCGAAAAACTATCTTTGTTATAACTCAGCATCTATTAAAAGACCCATTATGCAGAAGGTAGGTGAAATTTTATGTACTTGTTTTTCAGTTGAGCTTTTAAATATCACTAACATTATTACTCACAATTCAGATAATATGAAAAATGAAATTAAGAAAGCAATCTGATTGTGACAGAGTAATGTAAATTATAAGGGAAATTTTAAGTTTTAAGAGCTTTCATTGGCTGTTAAAAATTGTATATAGAAATATAACTTATTTCAATAAATATTTTTACTTAGATTCAAAGTGCACCATGCAGTTCAGCAAGCTATTGAACAAAATCTGGATTCTATTATATTGATCTTTCTTGAGGAGATTCCAGATCATAAACTGAACCATGCACTCTGTTTGCGGAGAGGAATGTTCAAATCTCACTGCATCTTGAACTGGCCAGTTCAAAAAGAACGGATAAATGCCTTTCATCATAAATTGCAAGTAGCACTTGGATCCAGGAATTCAGCACATTAAATTTATTTAAAGACTAACAAAAGAGTAAGTTTCCCAATTTAAAACGTTCTGTGGTAAGTTTGTTTCATTTGAAAATAATGTAGATCTGTTTATTCATATTTATAGGTGATTCTATTTTATCACAGTTATCTCTTCTGTGGAAATAATCTCCCTATCTCAGACCTTGTATTACCAATTGACTTAATTTGACCTCAAATAAATAAATAGAAGAATATCCTCTTCCAATGAATACACAGTTGGTTACTGAGATCCATGACAACTTCAGAAAGTTTAAAAATATTCCTCACTGAAAGAAAAGTTAAGAGTTATGTGAACATTGGTGATAATTATATTTGGTTTTTGTTTTTAGAGGTACTCAGAATAAAAGATCATTGTTTTAATGGGTACAATGCTATTCCAATTGTAAAAGAGTAAAAATATACCCATATTTTTTAAAAGTTCAGTTACAGTATTTTTTGAATTGAAAAGCTTTGTATTTTAGTGGTGTCCATCCCAGTGCTGATTCTGTTAAATGCTAAATAATATTTTAATGTACAGACTCATGGTCAGAAAACATTTGCAGTTCATTTTTATTTCTTAATAAACACTTGTATTTTCCTGCTATTTGGATTTCTGCTTAGGAAATGTTAGAAGAAACAATTCCCTGACCTAAAAGTAATGCAGAAAAGCTTGCTTCCTGAAGGTTCACTTAGCAGACTGGCTTGTGGGATCGGTGTTTTTATTTCTTAATAAACACTTGTATTTTCCTGCTATTTGGATTTCTGCTTAGGAAATGTTAGAAGAAACAATTCCCTGACCTAAAAGTAATGCAGAAAAGCTTGCTTCCTGAAGGTTCACTTAGCAGACTGGCTTGTGGGATTGGTGTTTTGTCCCCCTGGTCACAGACTCAGGAGATGGCCCTGGCCAGATCACTCGTTCCCACTGGGATTCTTTGACTCCTGGTCTGGAAAATGGTGATGCTAAACAAGATTGTAAGTATTCCTGTACAATTAGTGATGACAAGCATGGCATAGTACATGCCCGTGACGTACATTGCTGTACCATAAAATAGTATGTTTGTGTGTTAGTCCTCATTCAGAAAGACAATTATTTTAAGTTTTATTTTTGTCTTACAATAAAAAGTTTCATCATTAAAATAGACATGAATAGTTTTTCAAAACTCTTATAGTTGTAGTATTCAAATATACAGAGAGATGAGATTATAAAACTAAGTTGATTTCCACATTTAAAGCACTTATTTGCTGGATTTAGGGATGTCACATTTTGGAACTTTGGTTTAAGTAGTTCCATATTCTCAGGGCTAAATTCACATAATCCTGGGAAAAGTAAAATCCATTGTGCTGCTGCTTCTGAAAGAGTTACAGTCTCCCCAAAATGTGAATGTATAGAGGACTCATTTTCACTTATTTCACTCATTTTCATCATACACCTCCTTAACACACAAGACACTTGTTTTATAGCTTTTTGTTGAGGTTTGTTTTCTACCTGTGAAATAATACTGTTTTATTTTGGCATCATAAAATAAAAATCACAACTACTTTTTTCCTTGATGTACTGGGTATGCTATCTAACAATATTCTCAACTTCATTAAAATATTTCTAAGTTATTGTAAACTAATCAATATATCATTAATTCATGAACAGCAAGGCAGGAAGTAATTTTACTTCCATTCTCTTGATTTGCTTATGAGATAGTTGATGAAATGGCCACAATTTAAATTGAGTTCAAGTGGGATTTTTTAGTTGCTTAATATTTAAGCAGACACACCAGGGCTGACCTCTTTAACTCAACATAAGTAAAACTAATAAAAGGTGTAAGCCTTGACTTGTGTTTGACCTACACAGGAAGCAATGTCCTGAACCTCTGTCAGCTGTCCTCCATAATTGTTCTCAGGAGGAGTCCTTCTCCCTGGGGTTCAGGACAAGGGAAATGCACAAAAGGATGTTTCTCTGGCCGATTTAATTTCCACAAGGGAATTGTTTGAATGCTGTCAGGGTGCTAGCATGTCATCTGTGCACTCCGATTCCTAACTGTTTTTCACTTCCGGAACAAAACCCTGAATGCCAACTCAACAACACTGAGTTTCAAATAAATCTGGTTAATTAGATGTTACTGACAAATGACACCTTTTAGATGGTAGTAAAAAGTAGATACAGTCTATTTGGTTCTTGGGTGGAGATTTTCAGGTAGCAGGTTTGGGGCTTGCTCTGATTTATGAGGGGGAGGAACAGGCTGGGTTGGGAAGGGAGAGTATGGGCTGTGTGGCGATCGCAATGGCAGCTGAGCCTTGGCAGACCCCCCCGAGGGCTCTGGAGACAGGGTGGCCCTGCAGAGTTAACGCAAATCTAGGCAGAGGGGCTGGGCCGCTAAACTCTCACATCTACCAGTCACCGGATGCAGGCAGTCCCAGGGAGGAAGTGTGATCTTGAGCAGAAAGCTTTGCCCAAAAGCAGTTGCAAAGGAAGGGTTCAGTTGTGAACCACCAGTAGCTAACCCTCTGAGCAACTGGAGGAGTAAGGGGCCTGGGTCCTGAAGGGGACCCCTCGGTGGTTTACTACAGCACCCGCTCCACCTGCTAAGGTATTCAAGAAGTAAAACAGACATAGTTCAGTTGGTTTCTTGCACTTCTGCAAGCTGCAATCTTTTTTTTTTTTTTAAATAAAGTCTCTTCTAGAAATTCTGGAAAACAAATGGCTTCACAGGAAGCCAACATTTTTTTTTAAACAAGGATGTTTGAACAGCATCAGTGTCTGCCTGTCAGAGGCCACCAGGAACACTCCTGCAGCTGAGCAAGTGGCGTTCATTAGTAATGGCAGTGAAGGAGGACATACCCCATGGAAAACTCGGGGGTGTCGCAGCCAGAGGTGCTGGAAAGAACCTGTCGTAGGTTTCCTTGGGTGATTTAGGAGAGGGACTGAGGATGCAGACGTTCACTCTAGATTTTATGCTGTTAGGGAAAATTTTATGAATGGATATCTCAATAAATCATTATCTATAGGGAGAGGAGACTAGAACCAAGAAACGATTATAACTAAAAAATAGCAGTCAGCCAAGAGAGGAGTGCAGATGGTACGTTGAAGGTGGCATGGTGACCTCATTCTTGTACTCAGACGGAATCGTGACATGGTCAGGCCTTGTCTCACCTTAGAGTGTTGGAAGGACGCAGAGGCTGAGGCTGGTATTCTGAGACTGCTGCTGTCCAGGAAGGGAACAGCTGTGAGTGCCAGGCCAGCTTCTGGAAGGCAGGCTGTCCCCTGTCCTGGCAGCTCTCCCAGGCATCCTTGTGGCTCCTTGGAGAGATGCCTTTTTATCTTGGTGGCTTGCAAGTGACAGAAACTCAAAGTTGTTCCGGCAAAACGGGAGGATGTTCGTGGTTTGGAACCAGACTGGGCAGAGGCCAGGCATAGCTGGCTCTGGAGGAGAGCTGGAATGGGGGGCTCGAACCCCGCTGCCTCTCACACCTAGTCCCCTCTGTGTTGGTGCCCTTGGTCATGAGAGGCTGCGTTTCATGTCAACAAGGGACTGCCGCTCTTTCCTAGTCCCATTTTTGAAACTCCAGGGAAGGCCTCTGATTGGCCTAGTTTGGGGTATGTGTGCATTACTGTGGGCTTGGGGGAGTCGTCCTGTGGTCAGTAGCACCCACGGGACCACATGGATAGAATGCTCTCCCCCAGAGAGGGGAACGAGGCAAACAGCCATCTGTGTCCCCCACATGTCTAATGCACATGGCTGGTACGTCGAGCAGACTGGAGCCCCCGTTGCAGATGCAAGAATCTGTAGGAACCCCGGGCAGAGCGGGCAGCGCCTCGGCAGTGTGACGTTGGTGGGGTTCTCAGGTCCAGTCTTTTCTTTGCTCTGCTTGTTGGCTGCTGATAGGGCATTCGAAGAGCTGTTGTTTGGGTGTAAAGCCGTCTTGGCTGGGATAACACCAGCCCCAGGGAGATCATCCTTCCCCCGAGAAAGCCTGTTACCTAAGCAGTGGCAAGAAACAGAGGGTCCCTCTAGACTCCGGGTCTCAGTAATGTGCAGCCTCTCCGGGTCTCTGCTGGCCCGCCTGGCATTCTCTGGCCTCTAAGTGTGTGCACTCCCTGCCCACATCTTAGCCAGAAGGGGACTGAGCCCTCCCTCCCCAGGGAACACCCAGTGATCTCTGAACACGATCGCAGAGCCTATAAAGGGGCAGAAGGGACTGGGGTGTGGTGAGGAAACAGGGTTCCTGTTAATCCTGGCACCTCTGTATTGAACATTGTCCCTTGGGACACATTCCCAGGGACCCAGTGTGATCCATGTTTTTGACAAATTGCAAATGAACTTTTAAAGTAACCGTTTCTTTTCTACTATCTACTTTGCACAGTATATCACTTAATATTCATAACAGTTTCATGAACAAAGGATATTGTAGATAAGGGAACTGAGACCACAGAATGCAAGTGACTTGTCTGGAGTCCCAGGAAGAAAGTACAAAAATCAAGTCCAAGTTAGCTCAGCTCCACAGAGCCATTGATTCCCCACTCTGACACCACCCCTCTAGCCATGAAAGGACACGTGACTAGACACCCTGAGCACCTTCTCACCAAAGATGGGAAAGGCCAGGGGAAGATTCTCTGTGAACAGTTGCCAAAGGTTTAGTCATGGTTATTGTTGTTATTAATAACAGTAAGTAGCACACTTATTTTGTGTCAGACACTTTTTTAAGTCCTCTCATGTATTAATTCTTTAAACCCTCACAGCCCTACAAGGGGCAGCATGTTCAGGGGAAGTGGAGCCCTCTCGAGTGCTGGGAGATCCCCTGTGATTAAGCATGACAATTCACATCCCCCCGTTCTGATGATTTGTTTAGGGTATCTGCCACCGCACCCGGGAGGTTCTGTTACAGCGTATTAATAATCTCTGTGATCTAAAGCTGCCTTTTGATCAGCTCAAAGTTGTTCTTGTTTTAATATTTTTCCCTTGGTAGAATCCAGAGCCTTTAATCAAACATTAAGAAAATTTGCCTGAGGCTTTTGAGACTTTGGTCTGTTTTGTTTTATTGTGTTTGTCATTGAAAAAAAAATAATGCACACCAATTGAAGCATTCAGATAGGACAAAAGTGAATAAACTTGAGGGTAAACCTAGCAATAATTTCCTTCCAGATCTTTTCTCGGGCTATGCAGTGTAACCTGGCATCACATAGCATAAAAGCTAACATCTCCCAAGAGCTTACCCTGTGCGGTTACTTGACACAGGAACACCTATCGTCATCTGGATCACAGTTGAAGAAACTAAGACAGAGCGAGAAACTCAGGTGTTGATCAGTGGCAGAGATGGTGGGACCCTAGGGAGTCCCACTGTGAAGTCTAACATACTGCCCTGTCTCCATTGTGGCGCTTAGTAAATACTTATTGAACCTGCAAATGTCGTTCATTGTTCAGAAGTTTAAAAATTTTTGAACAAACTTGATAGCATTTTTCTTTATAGGGCCTGGCCTCGGTGTCATGCAAAGTGAGGCAGTTTAAATTCTTCAACAGATTAATTACTCAAGTTATTTGTTTCAACTTCCAGTTTCCAAAACATAACGTTTCTTCATAGCAACTTTCTCAGTGATGTAGACAAGCATTAGTATACACACCAGAAAACCAGTTCATCAAACTGTTCGTTCATCAGGATAAGCAGAAGAATTTTAACACATAAAGCACTGCTTTGGCATTTCTAATACCAAATCTAAATATAA